ATACTGCTTGGGACAATATCTCAAGTATTACAAATATCCCTGTCCTATTTGGGATACACGTATACTAAAAAGTTGTTGGATATTTGAACTTTAAATTTAACTGGGTGTCCTATAATTTTATTTGATACATCTGGCAATCCAAGGGGTGAGTGATGTGGGGTTTTGTGTGTGCAAGCATAGGTGGGAAATGGGAGTGACAGATCAGTTTGGAGACAGTTTCAAGTAATGGTAGCCTGAATTCAAATATGGCTAGTAGTATGAACCAAAAATAAAATTCTCAGACCCCCCTTCCAACCATCTATCTGAATGGACTTCCTCCTCATTCAGGGCTCTTTTAAAATTTAGCTGCAGAGACTGTTTCAGGTCCTGATGGGAAGTGGTGGTCGAACATACCTCATTACACCTCTCCAGCATTAACATCAGCACAGACTTTAAGTCTGATAAGAAACATTTTACAGTCTCTTCTCTCTGAAGCCTAGTACTTGAAGGCTTCTTCTGCAAATAAGAACTTGGGTCTCCACAATCCTTTATCTTAACCCAGACAATCCTTTCTGTTAATTCCAGGTCTTTAGACAAACTCAACCAATTGTCAACTAGAAAAATTTTAAATACACCTATAAACCGGGTGCAGTGACTCAGGCCTGTAATCCCAGCACTTTGGGAGGCCGAGGCAGGCGGATCACTTGAGGTCAGGAGTTCAAGAATAGCCTGGCCAATATGGTGAAACCCCATCTATACTATCTATACTGAAAATACAAAAATTAGCCAGGCGTGGTGGCACATGCCTGTAGTCCCAGCTACTCAAGAGGCTGAGGCAGGAGAATTGCTTGAAACCAAGAAGCTGAGGTTGCAGTGAGCCGAGATCACACCATTGTACTCCAGCCTGGGTGTCCCAGGGAAACTCCATTTCAAACAAAACAAAAACAAATAAATTTACTGATAGCCTGAAGTCTCCCTCACCACCTCAAGCTGTCCTGCCTTTCTGGACCAAACCAATGTATTTCTTAAATGTGTTTGGTTAATGTCTCGTGCCTCCCTAAAATGTATAAAACTAAGCTGTACCCCGACTACCTGGGGCACATGTTCTCAGGACCTCCTGAGGGCTGTGTCACAGGCCATGGTCACTCATATTTGATTCAGAATGAATCTCTTCAAATATTTTACAGAGTTTGACTCTTTTTATCAGCAGTGGAAAAATCAAGAGAAATAGTACCATTTTAGAGCTCTGCAGTAGGTAGAAAGGTCAAGATTTTGTGACTGGTTGAATGTGGAGTTTATGACTGTTAACGGTGGAGGGGGTCCAGGTTCTTGGCATCTTGAACAAAAAATTGGACAAAATGCAGGCCGGGCGCGGTGGCTTAAGCCTATAATCCCAGCACTTTGGGAGGCCGAGACGGGCGGATCACAAGGTCAGGAGATCGAGACCAGCCTGGCTAATACGGTGAAACCCCGTCTCTACTAAAAAATACAAAAAACTAGCCGGGTGAGGTGGCGGGCGCCTGTAGTCCCAGCTACTCGGGAGGCTGAGGCAGGAGAATGGCATAGACCCGGGAGGCGGAGCTTGCAGTGAGCTGAGATCTGGCCACTGCACTCCAGCCTGGGCGACAGAGCGAGAGTCCGTCTCAAAAAAAAAAAAAAAAAAAAAAAAATTGGACAAAATGCACAAAGCGAGGAAGGAATGAAGGGTTTTACTGAAAATGAAAGTACACTCCACAGCGTGGGAGCCGGCCCGAGCATAGGGGCTCAAAGGACCTGTTACAGATTTTTTTGGGAGTTTAAATACCCCCTAGAGGATTCCATTAGTTACTTGGGTTACATCCTATGTAAATGCAGAGGATGAAGTAAAATTACGAAGTTATTTACAGCATACACCCTATGGAGAGGATATTTCCTGTCATAGCTCAAGTGTGAATCGGCCTTATGTTTCCTGTCTCCAGACACTATTTTCCTGCCTCATGGCAAGGGAGGAGTCAAAGGTAATGAAAAGTGAAATATGGATTTGGCCAGTGAGATTGCTGATGGAGATGAGTTTCATTTTGGAAGTTTTGAGTTAGTTGTTCTTGAGGAATTTTTAATTATTTTAATTTAATTTAATTTAATTTAATTTAATTTATTTTTATTTTTATTTTTGAGACAGAGTCTCACTCTGTCACCCAGGCTGGAGTGCAGTGGCACAATCTCGGCTCACTGCAACCTCTGCCCCTAGGTAAAAGTGATTCTCCTGTCTCAGCCTCCCGAGTAGCTAGGATTACAGGCACCTGCCACCACGCCCAGCTAATTTTTGTATTTTTAGTAGACACGGGGTTTGGCCATGTTGGCCAGGCTGGTCTTGAACTCCTGACCTCAGGTGATGCACCCGCCTCGGCATCCCCAAGTGCTAGGATTATAGGCGTGAGCCACTGCACCAGTCCAGAGTATTTAGACTGTAGATACAGAATATAGTTACATATATTCTGAGCAATAAATTAATTTAAAATAAAACATATCCAGGAAGCTATGGACACAAGTACTGACCCTTGTCTATCTATACCATTTAATCTCTTACACACTACCCTTTTTTTTTTTTTTTTTGAGACAGTCGTGCCCTGTTGCCCAGGCTGGATCTCGGCTCACTGCAACCTCCACCTCCCGGGTTCAAGCATTTTTCCTGCTCAGCCTCTGTAGTAACTGGGATTATAGGGATGCACCACCACGCCTGGCGAATTTTTGTATTTTTAGTAGAGATGGGTTTTCGTCATGTTGGCCAGTCTGGTCTTGAACTCCTGGCCTCGAGTGATCCACCGGCCTCGGCCTTCCAAAGTGTTGGGCCTACCCTTTGTGTCTTAACCTCTTCTTTCACTAAAAAACCCATTCCTGTGTCTGTTCTAATTCTCTTGTTTCTAGCCTTTGTCGATCTAAAAATAATTTTAATTATGAATGTTGTACTTTATCTTTTCCTTTTCATGTCATTGACTTAGCCTTTCACTATGATCCTGGCATTTTTTTCCCTCTTCCTCCAAATCAGTCTGTGGGTTTTATCTGTCTCAAACGAGTTTCTTCCTTCAGGAACTTCCGGCTGTTATTGGCTCTGGTTTCCTTGGCAACCCCTGCTTCTCAGATTTTTTTCTGATTACTTAAGAGAAATTTTACAAAATCACTGATAACCACTGATCAGAAACTGTAGAAGAAAGGGAAAGTGCTCTGCATTGCCTCTGAGAAAGGAAGGGGGCAGATTTAGAGGAAACAGAAAAATACTGAGACCCAGGGAGATGGAAGTAAAATGTGTGAAGAAAGTATTGATTTACATGGTTTGTTATTTTCTTTTTCTTTTTTTTTTTTTTTTTTTTTGAGACGGAGTCTCGCTCTGTCGCTCAGGCTGGAGTGCAGTGGCGCAATCTCGGCTCACTGCAAGCTCCGCCTCCCGGGTTCACGCCATTCTCCTGCCTCAGCCTCCCGAGTAGCTGGGACTACAGGCGCCTGCCCCTGCGCCCGGCTAATTTTTTTTTTTCTATTTTTAGTAGAGACGGGGTTTCACCATGGTCTCGATCTCCTGACCTTGTGATCCGCCCACCTCTGTCAGTGTACTGTTGTGTTATCAGATTTCAGAGACGATTACCTCATCAGTCAGACAGCTGTATCATCTATCAAACAAAATACTCCTAGATCTTGTTCAGCCAATGTGGAGTGTAGGAAATCATATTCCAGATTATTGTGAGAATATGAAACACAAATCTTCAGAGAAGATGAAAGAAAAAAGATGTAGACTAAACTTGTACTAATGTTTACACTAGAAACATTATTAGTATGCAATGCAACGAGAATTGAGTAAGCTTAGTAACTACAGATGTCTGCTGACTCGTTATATTAAAAAATATAACGAGTGAGATTTTATTTTGTACAGTACTGCTGTTCTGTATTTCATGTTACCATACTACTGCTTTTGTTAAATGAAGATACCACGACAGGGATTAGGTGCTTTGTATAGGGCTAATATGGATACATAAATTTCTGGCAAAATTCAGAATGTTCTTTCTTAGAGACAGATTTAACTGTCTAGTCAGTGTTTTGTGTTGGTGAGCACATAAACTATTTAACAAAACTCTCATTAGAAAAGTTGAGGGCCGGGCGCGGTGGCTCAAGCCTGTAATCCCAGCACTTTGGGAGGCCGAGACGGGCGGATCACAAAGTCAGGAGATCGAGAGCATCCTGGCTAACACGGTGAAACCCCGTCTCTACTAAACAATACAAAAAACTAGCCGGGCGAGGTGGCGGGCGCCTATAGTCCCAGCTACTCGGGAGGCTGAGGCAGGAGAATGGCGTGAACCCGAAAGGTGGAGCTTGCAGTGAGCTGAGATCTGGCCACTGCACTCCAGTTTGGGCGACAGAGCGAGACTCCGTCTCAAAAAAAAAAAAAAAAAAGTTGAAAAACATTCATTTTCCAGAAGCTTTCTGTTATTCAAGGCAAATTGAGCATTATTTGGGGTAACTACACCATGAGAGAAATTAATTTGCTAATTTGTAGAACTACAGAGTATTATCTAGCAAATTCAGTAGTTTAGTTTTCAGTGTTTTTTTTTTGTTTGTTTTGTTTTTTTCCTTTTGGCATGGACTCTACCTCTGTCACACAGGCAGGAGTGCAATGGCACAATCTCGGCTCACTGCAACCTCCGCCTCCCAGCTTCAAGCTATACTCCTGCCCCAGCCTCCTGGGTAGCTTGGATTATAGGGGTGCACCACCATGTCCGGCTAATTTTTGTATTTTTAGTAGAGATGGGGTTTTGCCATGTTGGCCAGGCTGGTCTCGAACTCCTGGCCTCAGGTGATCTACCAGCCTCGGCCTCCCAAAGGGCTGGGATTACAGGCATGAACCACAGCACATGGCCAGTAGTTTAGTTCTACACTTGAATTGTTGGATTGCATTCTATCTTGGTAAAATTTGAATAAAAAGTAAATACAGTGTTTACCAGTGAAGTTATTTACTCATTACATATTGATATAATTGATAATCCCTACATATTTTATCATATTGAATTTAAGACACTGTGATAACAGATTTTTTTGAAGCAAAATCCTGTTTTAAGTCTTTGGGTGTAGTACCTTTGCTGACCACTCTCGCGTTTGTATCTCCCACATTATTCCCCACCTCATTCCCATTATGAAACAGTTCACGGTTTGGAGAGCTTGGCCCCACCTCTGGCTCCGAGATCAATTCTGATTGGGTGAAACTAATCTGAGTAATCCCCTTCTTCACAGGGGTTTGTCAGATAACTCAGGCCTGAGCCAATCACCGTTCTCTGGGACACAGATTGGACTCTAGGTTATTTTGTAAGTGTCATACTCCAGATTTATCTGGGAGCAGGAACTCCTTTGGACCTTAAGGAGGAAGCATGTAGCCGCTGTTAGCTGCTGGCAGCTATCTTGTGTTCTTGAAGGAAGCTGGCCTGAGGAGGACTCCTCATACAGAGAGAAACACTGAGAGATTCACTGAAAAACTGACACGGGATCCTGAGGGGCCACTCTTGAAGACTTATCTCTGCACCTTTCTGGTATGTAAGTCAATACATTCCTTTAATTTAACCCTGTTTCAACTGAATTTATTGTTACTTGCATATGAAAAACAAAAAGTCCTAAATGATGTATCTACCCTTTGGTTTCATGTAAGAATCCAAGAGCGTAGTAGCTAATTTCAGTGTAGTTATATTGGGATTATTTAAAGCATCTCATTACTGAGTCTGCAGTTGTCTTAGTACCTTGAAGATACTTGGGGTTTTGTGTTCTAATGAATTGATTAATTCAACAACTGCTTATTATTAATATTAAGCATTCACTCCCTGTAGGGCACTCTGCATACAGCAATGGTCAGCATGGTTCCAGTACTCAGAGAGCTCCAAGGATTAGTTGAGACCAGATAAGAATATCAAGGAGGCAAGCAGAAGTTACAATGGGAAATCAGAAAGAAGACAAAGGAGGGACACCTAATTCAGAATGATGGGTTGCTGGATAGGAGAGAAAAGGAGACGAATGGGCAGGTATCATTAAATATTCCTATGAAGAAGTTCCTAACTTCTGTTTTTGTGCCATTGACGCTTTGGCAGTGTGGAGAAACCTAGGGACCCATTTTCAGAGCAGTGTTTTTAAATGTGTAAAATATTTTAGATTACAAGGAAATTTTGAGTATTGAAATAGCCAACAAAATATGTTAAAAGCAAATTCGTAATACAGTAGTATATATGCTTCTTCATTAACTCATTAAAGAACAAGACATAGCAATGAGCATACGTATTAAGCTAATTTTAGAGGTACTAATGGCTACAAATGAAATTTTGAGTTGTCTGCAACAACTGTTATGTGAAATGAAAATATCTGTGGTTTTTTTGGTTGTGAAGTCACAGGTACTACTAATGCTAATACTATTGTGGTTTGTGGCATACGTTCATAATAGAATGACATGCTAAATTTTATTTAGAGAGTTAGTTCAACACAATTTCCTGGCTCTGAATTCTATGCCAAGTTAAAAAAAAAATACTTGTGCTAAGAAGAGATAAAATTTGATGTAATTCTTTTTTTTTTTTTTTTTTTTTTTTTAGAGAGAGTCTCACTCTATATCGCCCAGGCTGGTGTGCAGTGGCGCAATCTCACTGCAACCTTTGCCTCCTGGGTTCAGGAGTCAAACTGAGGCTCCTGCCTCAGCCTCCCGAGCAGCTAGGACTACCAGCAGACGTCACCATGTCTGGCTGATTCTTTTGTATTTTTCAGTAGAAATGGGGTTTCACCATTGGTCAGGCTGAACTCCTGACCTCAAGTGACCTGCCCACCTCGGCCTTCCAAAGTGCTGGGATTACAGGCGTAAGCCACCACGCCCAGCCCCAGAAAGATTTTCCGATCATCCAATTTCTATTTTCCCCAAATAGAATTAATGACTTCCTCTTTTATATTATATTGGGAGCTTATATAATTTCAATCCTTGTATTTTTCATAATGTATTACAGTCATATTTCTATCTTTTTTATAATATATTGTAATCTTATATTTCTGCCATTTTTACAAGCCCTTAAAAATAATAGATGGGGCCAAGTGCAGTGGCTCACACCTGTAGTCTCAGCACTTTGGGAGGCCGAGGTAGAAGGATCGCTTGGGCCCAGGAGTTCAAGGCTAGCCTGGCCAACACAGTGAGACACAGTCTCTATAAAAAAAAAATAATAATGAATGGGCCGGGGGCAGTAGCTCACACCTATAACCCCAACACTTCAGGAAGCCGAGGTGAGTTAATGGTTTGAGTCCAGGAGTTTGAGATTAGCCTGGGTGACATGGTCAAACCCAGTTTCTACAAAAAAATACAAAAATTAGCTAGGCCCTATAGTGCCAGTACTTGGGAGGCTGAAAAGCAGGAGGATCCACTTGAGCCTGGGAGGTGGAGGTTGCAGTGAGCTGAAATCACACCACTGCACTTCAGCCTAGCTGACAAAATGAGACCCCATCTCAAAAAAACAACAAAAAATAAGTCCTGGTATGGTGGTTCATGCCTGTAATCCCAGCACTTTGGGAGGCCAAGGTGGGCAGATCACCTGAGGCCAGAGGTTCAAGACCAGCCTGTCCTACATGGTGAAACCCCATCTCTATTAAAAATACAAAAAATAGCTGGGCATGCTGATGGAGACCTGTAATCTCAACTACTTGGGAGGCTGAGGCAGGAGAATCGTTTGAACCCAGAAGGCAGAGGTTGCAGTGAGCCAAGACCACACCGTTGCAGTCCAGCATGGGCAACAAGAGCAAAACTCCGTCTCAAAATTAAATAACATAAATAATAAATAAAGATGAATTTTATTTATTTATTTTTCCTTTTTATTATACTTTAAGTTCTAGGGTACATGTGCACAACGTGCAAGTTTGTTACATATGTATACATGTGCCATGTTGGTGTGCTGCACCCATTAATTCGTCATTTACATTAGGTATATCTCCTAATGCTATCCCTCCCCTCTCCCCCCACCCCACAACAGGCCCCAGTGTGTGATGTTCCCCTTCTTGTTTCCAAGTGTTTTCATTGTTCAGTTCCCACCTATGAGTGAAAACATGTGGTGTTTGGTTTTCTATTCTTGCGATAGTTTGCTGAGAATGACGATTTACTTTTAAAACAGGTTACCTGTCACTCAGGCTGGTGTGCAGTGGTGCAATCCCAGTTCACTGCAGCCTTGGACTCCCGGGCTCAAGTGGGTCTCCCACCCCAGCCTCCTGAGTAGCTGGGACTACAGGTGTTCAGCACCACAGGTGGCTAATTTTTTTATATTTTTTGATAGAGATGGGATTCCACTATGTTGCCTAGGCTGGTTTCAAACTCCTGACCTCAAGTGATCCTCCCGCTTTGGTCTTTCAAAGTGTTGGGATTATAGGTGTGAGCTACCACACTTGGCCTGACTATTATTTTTGGTATGTATTTTACTGGAGGGATACTTAGGAGTTTCCACATTCCATGGGTGACATCCATGTCATTCATGGGTGACAGCCACTAATAAAGAAATTTCAAATCTAGGATCTAGTGATAGAATACTTCACAAGTATAATGAGACATAATTTGGTGTAGGTTTTTAGTAATAATAGTATGCTGGCCACTTTCCCTATACACACGCTTTGAATATTGGTGTTTTCAAGATTTTGTTCTATACTGGACCTTCTTAATTTCTCACTCTATAAACTCTTCTTTGGGGAACTCACCTACTTCCTGAGCATCAACTTCTGTGTAATAATAACTTCTGAATCCAGCCTATACCTGGTTCTCTATCACCTAAGGATCACTTGCAAATATCTAAAATGTAGACCATCTAACTCCCTACAGATAAGCAACTTTCAACTCAATATGCTAAGATTGAACTCATTTTTAAAAAAATCTCTTAAACCTTTTTCTGCCTCACTCTCACTAATTTGGTTCATGCTCTCATCATGTGAATTACTGCACACTTCTTTAAAATTCTGTTCTTGATGCTTATCTAAAGTATGAGTGACTGAATTTTCATTTATTTATTTATTTATTTATTTATTTAGAGACGGAGTTTTGCTCTTCTCACCCAGGCTGCAGTGCAATGGCACGATCTTGGCTCACTGCAACCTCCACCTCCCAGGTTCAAGCGATTCTCCTGCCTCAGCCTCCTGAGTAGCTGGGATTACAGGTGCCCACCATGCCCAGCTAATTTTTGTATTTTTAGTAGAGACGGGGTTTCACCATGTTGACCAGGCTGGTTTTGAACTCCTGACCTCAGGTGATCCACCCACCTCGGTCTTCCAAAGTAGTGGGATTACAGGCATGAGCCACTGCGCCTGGCCTGAGTGACTGAATTTTCTAAAAAGGTGAATTGCATTATGCTATTCCCTGCTTTACGTTCTCTAAAAAGACTATTCTCTCTCTTTTTTTTTTTTTTTGGACAGAGTCTCACTGTGTCGCCGAGGCTGGAGTGCAGTGGCATGATCTCGGCCCACTGCAGCCCTGCCTCCTGGGTTCAAGCGATTCTTCTGCCTCAGCCTCCGGAGTAGCTGGGAGTACAGGCGAATGCCACCACATCCAGCTAATGTTTGTGTTTTTAGTAGAGAGGGGGTTTCACCATATTGGCCAGGCTGGTCTCAAACTCCTGACCTCATGATCCGCCTGCCTCGGCCTCCCAAAGAGCTGGGATTACAGGCGTGAGCCACCGCGCCTGGCCAAGTGTAAACTTTTAAGATGACATACAAAGCCCTGCATGACCTGGCCCTTCCTCTCTCTCTAGCCTTACAGTCAGATTTGATTATACCACATGCTAGCATTGAAGTATTGGGCAAGTTTTTTAAACTTGAAGTTAAAAAACTTCAAGTGAGGATATTAATGCTAATCAGGGGGAGATAACAGCATATAAAGTGCCAAGCATACTGCCTGGCTTAGCGTTAACAATAAATATTGGCTATTGTGGAAGAAGAAAATATTACTGCATGTATTTGTTCAATCTCTATTGCTGTCGCAAGAGGATGCTTTGAACTGCTGATTAGGTAATGTTTTAACATAAACGGAACTCTCCACTCCACTGAAAAAGAAAGAAAAGGAAGAAAGAGGTTTATTTGAATAGACTGGGAAGAAAATTGGAGGTGAAAAGTTGAGTGATTGGGGAGGATTAAGAGAGGCCCACAGAATTGTTTGTTTGTGGAGATGAGTTAGTGGTAGTATAAACTTCAGAAGAAGAGATCTGGCTGAGCGCAGTGGCTCATGCCTGTAATCCCAGCACTTTGGGAGGCTGAGGCTGGCGGATCACTAAGGTCAGGGTTCAAGACCAGACTGGCCAACATGGCGAAACCCCGTCTCTACTAAAAGTACAAAAATTAGCTTGGTGGGGTGGCGCGGGCCTATAATCCCAGCTACTCTGGAGGCTGAGGCAGGAGAATCACTTGGACCTGGGAGATGGAGGTCGCAGTGAGCCGAGATCACACCACTGTACTCTAGCCTGGACTACAGAGGCGCTGTCAAAAAAAAAAAAAAAAAAAGAAAAGAGACCTGAAGTATTTGATGTCAGAATATAGGGGAACTTTGGAGAGCTAAATGGGTTAAGATCTTTAGGATGTTTTGCTAACCCCCATCCTTACCTCCTCAGTGGCCAGCTTTAGTTACTTTGTTAAAGTTTTATGGTTGGCAGATTCACGTTTCTTCAGAGTTTGACACTAGGTTGAGGTTGGCCATGAACTAATACAATTATATTTCAGTTACACGATTATTTGCGCTCCTTGAGTGTCTCCACCCTCATGTTAACTCTGACATCTGCCCGAAATTCATTCATCGAATACAATATTTGATTGGCCTCCCCTCTTTCCGTTTGCTGGACAGCCCATCATTTTCCAAAGTCAGCCCCTAAACTCTTCTATGAGTTTCCGGACAACTCAACACAAAAATTCGCCCCTCCCTTTTTTGCGTGCAACCCCGCCTCCTCTTTTAATTGTTTGGCTGTCATTCCTCTTGTATAGTGCTCCTTGCAATCAGGACTGATGCTCTACATATTTGCTAGCTCGGAGTATGGCACGAAGTAGATGCTCAGTAAATGTTGATTGAACGAGTATTCTGTGCATCTCGGCGACATCACATCCTGCGTGCCGTGGCGTCATTCTGCATTCCTCTGCGGTAGGCGCTGATCCGGAGGGTTTAAGTGGTTGTTTGTAACATGCACCGAACATATCCAACGCAGGCAATGCACCAACAAAAAGCGCGGTTGGTGGGAGTGCGGTCTCGAGGTCGGCTGGCAGCTGGGAAACTCCAGCTCGGG